ACTCAACAGGAAGTACTAGAGTTTCACAAAAGAGCACACAGTGATTACATATATTACTCCTGAACACTATACTGCAGCATCTGCTAGTTAAGCCAAAAGGAAAACATCCAGAAGGTAGGTATATATATATATCAGCAATATACAGCAGCTGATCAGAAGCCAGAAGCTGATCAAGATTTAAACAAATCGCTCCACTTCTTGTTGGTGTTCTCTATACAGATTGCATCAGTCACTCTTGAAACCTCATCACGCGAAACGCAATGCAGATTTAGGTGATTCAAATGACCAATTACGTCTTCTAAGACTGGATTGTCGATTCTGTCAGCTGGCTTGGCTAAAACACCGGAGGGCAACGCATGGCAGATATGACTAGTTGGTGTACGAGGAACATTTTGAGGGATTGGTGAAGAGGAGAATAGCTCGATCAATTTCCTTGTCTGTCCTTTGTCTAACTCAAACCAGAAGAGCCGCCCTTCGTAGTAATTATGACCAATTACTGGTCCGAATTTATCTTCAAACAGAGGCTGGCACTTCTTTCGGACACTGACTTGCACCTTGAAAGAAAACAGCACGATACATTTATTTATTTGCCAAACCAAGTGATATAAGCATGATGTACCAATAATTTGTATACCTGCGCAGGATAGGCTGTCCTTTGAGTTCCCTCATCAGCAATCCATGCATTCGGGTTGATATTCATCTGTCCATGGCCTGCAGCCTCAAAGATACCATGGAGTGTCCGATCACTATAGTTGAAGAGAAAAAGCGGTAAGCCAGTGCTGACATTCTTCACATAAGAGAAATGTGTTGACGGTAAACCTGCTCAAGAATTTGCCATAGAAAACAAAATAAGGTCAACAACTCCAACTGGACAAACCTGAAAGTAAAGTAATTATACATTGTGGGCTCTAGAAGAAACGCACCAAACAACTTCTTACTTAGGCATTCATCCATTGTGTGATGCTTACAACCAAATATAACTGCACCTAGTTCATGACTTCTTAGATTCCTAGCACGTACACTAAAATTGCCCAATGAAGAAGATTCAGATTTTTCCTTCATGTTCACCTTAGTATTTCTTCCCCGCCCCATCTGCAATTACAGGAGAAATATCATCATTAAACTAAAACTAAATGCAACAGTTGAAGCTACAGAGCAAACAAAGCAACAATGGGCAGCATCAATGGCATCCTTGTGCAGATCAATCACCTTTAAACATAAATGAAAGAACAGAACAAAGCCAACCAACAGATAAGAATTGAGAAGAATCCTCTACAGTGCCAACTCTTTGGCAAATACCTTTCCTTTATACTTCTATTATCTTGACAAATACCGATATTTATGTAACAAAGCATAAATGACAAGCTTCAAATATACCATTCAACATTAAAATAGTCTCATTCAAAAGACATGACATAAACACAAGCGGAAAACAACTGCACAGGGGATTAAAACTATGCTAGTTTACTTGTTTTCCAAAAGTTTCTTGCTGGAACTTTATAATGTTTTTCATTCAAAAACATGAATATTTGGTGGCAGTGATGGGGATTCAAGCTGGAAAAACATTAAGGTTATGTTTGGTATACCATATCAGTAGAACGAACTAAATATTCACTTCCTCTTTCTTCTTTAATATTGTTTAGTACCGTCCTGTTCACCTTCCCAAACTTGCCACAAGAAGTTCAGGGACAATAAGCTATGAGCTCCCTTTTTCTTTATAATAACAAGATTGGAGAAAATTTTCAAAATCACTAATCACTTGGTAACAAAGAAGACTGAGTAATTAAGGAACTAAACTAGGAATAGAAAATAGCAATTTAGTCTAAAAGAACTTCAATTGCATTTCAGTTCATTCCATGAAACTCTGATGAACCAATATTGCATCCAATTAGAGTGGTATACGTGAATGAGATGCATAGTCAAAATAACTTGAATAGCTTGCATTTACATTACAGAAACACGTCAATCCTTGCACCGCTATTTGAATGCCGAGTACGAAATACACAAAAAAGAAAACACAATTTCAATCTAGCTTCAGTATTGTAAACACCGAACTCACAAACCACAAGTTATGCTTTAGCCCATTAATGTGCCCAAAGAATTTATCTCTCGTCTAATCGAAATAATCCTGTCTAATATGAAGCAAATTGTACTCTGATAAAGAATTTCAACTCTTATAAACACTACAAGTTATAGTTACACCTTCTTTTAACATATAATTTTCCCCCAAATTTAACCCTCAACTCGTACAACCCAAACAATCCTTTTTACTATTTCTAATCGAGAATTTCCATTTTCCACAAAAAAATAATATTAATAATAAAAAAATATATCTAAAAAAAAAAAATGACATGCAGCCCTTCAGCTAAAAGAAGAAATAGTAGGAATGAATCGGNAAACCCTCAATCTCCCAAAAATTGAAGAAAATATAGATAAAACCAAAATAAATAAATTAAAATTCCTAGAAATGAAATCGGTGCAAAAGTTAAAAATAAAGAAATAGCTAACTCCCACTCATGCAGAAAACGTAAACTCCGGCACTTTTACGTATGCATAACCAAGAGGAAAACTTCGTTTCAATATTTTCCACTAAAATCACAAAACCTGCAACATCTATTCCTTTTTTTTCTTTTTTGTGTATGAATATAAATATCAAGTAACACAGAACAAACAGCGCATTCAAATGAAATAAAGTGGGGAAAATAAGGATATGTCTCTGAATAAACTATAAAACAAAGATAAAACAGAAGTGCAAAACCTTCGTAGTGAAAATTTCAGGATCAGTGTCAGACAAACAAAGAGAAAGAGTGAGGGAGGGAGGGGAAAGGCCTAGATGTGTACTTTCATACTTTGATGACACTGGATTAATTTTTATTTATTTGTAATTATTTTTTTATTCAATGCAACTTCTATTCAAGATTTTTTTTCCCTTTTCAAAAAACCTTTTAATTTAACTTTAGTTTATTAACTTTTTATTTTTTTTCCTTTTTTAAATTATTATTATTTTTTTTTTACTCTAGTTTCAAGTTTTTAAATGACTTTATTTGTATAAAAATCCAAAATGACTTTAACCGATAAAGATTTAGATAAAACTTAAACTACGGTATTATATATATAATGTAATTATAATTTAGAGACTTTCGCTTTGTTAAAAATTTCGAAAATATGTAAGAAGTTCCTATATATTTGTTAAATCGGATATTATTGAGGGTGTGTTTGATAGATATTATTGAGAAGTTCCTAGATATTTGTTAAATATGTAAGAAGTTCCTTTAGAGTGTGTTTGGTGGATATTATTGAGAAAATGCTGTATTTTAAATAGTAATATGATATGAAATATGTGGTTAAAAAGTAAGTAAAAGTTATTGATGTGATAAAAATATTATTTTATTTAAAAATGTATGGTTGAAAATGAGTTTTGAAAGAATATATTTTGAAAGAATATGTACCAAACATGGGCTAAGTAGGACTTATCTAGTTGAAAGTTAAAACTATGAAAAATTATATAATTGACTATTGTATGAATTACTAAATAAGTATAATATTTGATAATTTTAGATATTTGGTATGTATTATTTTAATTATAAATGATTTTTAGAATGATCAAGTGTTTAAAATAATAATAATAATAATAATAATAATAATAATAAGTAATGTTTTTTAAAGCTTAAACCTCACCTAAACTCATTCAGCCTAATAAAGTTTGAAACTTAGCATCCACCTTATAACAACCTAACCTCTATACCCAACCCGTTATAACATATATATTGTCCGCTCTAAGAGAGGTCGATCTCATCTTACCCTTATGAATTTCCATCGCGTCCCTATTATTCGAACCCTTGATATTTATTTAAAGAATGACTTAAGTTGAATTCCGATACTCATGGACAACTTGTCAAAGGTCAAATATTCGAACTCTGGTATCAATTGGGCAACTTAAGTCTTACTTAAGGGAAACGTCAAATGTTCGAATGCTGCATAGCCATAAAAATCTGTAAGAGGTAAGATGGACTCGCTCGTCGGAGCGTACAGTACTTAAGGGTTTAGGCACAGAGACTAGATTGTGACAAAAGAAACGCGCGTTTTTTTGTAACGACTTAGCCTTGTGCCCTCTCGTTCTCTTAAGTTGTCCGATTGGTACTAAAATTCAACTTAAATATCTCTTAAGAGGAGTTTATGTGTTCGAATCTCATGGAACGCGATAGGAAACCATGAGAGGTAAGATGGACAAATATCTTTTCAAAGCAGACAATACATAATAGAACGGCCAGGCCTCGCCTAAGTCGTTTAGCCACATTTTATATTTTTTAGAACATTGATTTATCCAATGAAGTATGAATATATTTTTTTCATTTGATGATATGACAATGACATTACTGTCACATAAATCGATACTAAACACAACTAGTGATACATATCATTATTCAATTGACGCTACACAACAATGTTCTTATTTTTCACTTTGAATATTTTGAATTATATTCTAAGTTTAAAATTTCAAGAATTGTAAATATATTATCCAGTGTCTTTTTTATTTTTCATATGAATATTTGTACACAAAGTCCAATCACTTACTTGAGATAGCGACAAAAAAAATTTCCACCATGCATTGCCTCGTCCAATTATATAGATAAGACGGGGACGAGAACATGGTTCCTGTATCAAATCTTCTAAATTCTTCAAGAATATTTCTTTAATATTTTTCAAGTTAAATGGTAATAAATAATAAATAATATTAATACATAACTAAATAATTATTCGGTACAGTAAAGGAGGATATTTTAATCCCCACCTCAACCCGCTTCACTCCTACCACACGCCTTCCTAAAATTCTTTACATTGTCGAAATGGTAATGATGTTGAGATCCCGTCACGTTCCATTGCAATCCCTAGTCTGAAGTAGGGGTGGGCAAAACCCAAACCAACCCGTCTAAACAAGTTACAAAACACAATTACACAACTCTAACCTAATAATCTTCATCATTCTCTCTCTCTCTCTCGCTCCCACAATCCAACTTCACTCGCCGCCGCCTCTCTTATTTTCTCACCAAGAAATGAGAAAGTATTTTTTTGTAAATTTCTTAATTGTTAAATTTGTTGATGAAAATCTTTTAAAACTTTTGCACTTTTAAATCTTGACGAAGTTGTACTGAATATCTATGATTATTCCAAGTTTTAATTTTAATTACAGGTACAAGATCCCTCTATTTTCTTTCTTTAGCATTTTTTTGTTTATGCATTTCGTATGGTTTATAAGTTTTTATTGTCGAAATACACTTTTATGATTTTTAATGTCCAAACCGATCAACCCGACCCGACAGAAACTTGATTGGGTTGAGTTGGGTTGGAATACATAAATGGGATGGGATGATTTGATTTTTGGATCAAACCGACCATATTGGGTTGGGTAAAAAACCAACCCAACCCACGCCCACCCTTAGTCTGAAGCAACATGTATCCACAATTTTTAAATCTTGGGATTTTAACATTGCAACTTGAGATTTATTGACGATCAATAACATTTTTTAAAGATTAATAACATTTTTTTCTTGCAATTACCTTGTAATACCCAAAAAATGCAACACACATTGTAAAATGGGGAACTCAGTGTTCGAAGTAGTTAATTGAGTCATCTTAGATGCCAAACGCTTAATCTTCATTAAGCCCCGATGACTACCTAAAGGGACGCGAGCTATTAAAGGCGAAAAAATAATGATATCTATCATTATGATAATGAAACATCGGTGATGTGGGTATCTATGTGCAATAATGAGATTTGACAATTCAATTTTTATGAAAGAGAGAAGAGAAGGATGAGGAGAGAGAAAGAGAAATGTGGGGGGATATTATGTTGTTATATTATCAATATTTCATTATCATGATGATAAATAACATTACTCAAAGCAAAATGCAATAATCAACCAACCAGATGGACCTCGAGACAACTCCAAGAGGATGGTCGAGCTTAGAGGAATTTATTGAACATACTCAAGGATGAATGATAATTGTATTTTATACACTTATTCGGGACCTAAAATATCGCTATTTGGTACTTATTTTGACAAAATATATTCTAAATTGTTGTATTTTATGTTATATAGGTAAAATTCAATGGTTGAACGAGGAATTGGAAGAAACAAAAGAAAATCAAGGAAAAAGAGTAAAGTCCAACGTTTGAGGACCAAATTGAAAATATTTAATAATTAATTCAGGCCACAAAACGATACTTTAAAGATTACTATAAGACAATTGGATAGTGTTATAACTTAAAAAGAAATGGAATATGATCAAAATATTATCAAAATCAATTCACAATCGCACAAATTATATTCCAGATTTTTAGGTAAAGGTTGAGACCCATTTTTGGCGTAGTAAACATTTGAATTAGAACATTTCTATTTCTAGAAAAGTTTAGCCATTTGAGTTATATTTTCAACGCATTTTCAATTACCTCAATCGGATATCGAAAGACAAATTTATAGCCAAAATTCTGACTGCTATGTGGAGACAAAAAATTCTGCGCACAAAGGCAACTTTCCTTATTCGATTGGAACTCTTTTGGAAACTAATTTGCAAGTGATTTTCAACCAATTTTTTACTCCAACAAATACTTAATTGCAGAATACATATTGGGGACCTCTTATATGCATATTCAATGCTCATCAATTACTATCATCAAATGTGGAAAATTTATAGTTTTTGACAGCATTAAATGGGACTTGTAAGAATTCAATCAAGTGAAGATTTAAACTTAATTTTTGGGCAAAGAAGAGAAAGTGCAAGTAGAGATTTATCAAGAAACCTTTGAAATTATTCAAGACTTCAATATTCTTCTTCATCTTCTCAATTTATCAAAAATTCGAGTTATATCTTCTCACTTAAATATGATTTCTTATAATTTCGATATGTTATACTATTTTTATACATTGCTAGGATGAGATAAACCTTTGTTATGATATTTTTAATTAATTGTTTTGACGTTTGATTTGATTTGTGAATATTAATTATTGTTTTTATCGTTCTTTTCAATTGCTTGATCATCAATTGAATTGTTAGTAGATTTTATTGTTATCGAGAGAAACAATATGGTTTAAACACAATAATAAACATTGTAAAATTCGATAGAGGATAGAAATACACCTCTATGTTTATATGGTTTCAATAGGTGTTCTAACACATGTTAATGCATTTATCATATTTGTTTCTTTTATCGAGAGATGGAAGGATTACATGAGAGGAATATATTTGATCGCTATCGAGAAAGACTTTCAATTAAATTAGGAAAATTGACCATCGTGAATGATTTCAAATTGTCACTTTAATTGTCACACTAAAAATGGAATAAGAGGGAGATTTGACATCTTAGTAATGTATTTCACATATTTGAAAAACACGTTTACTTACTTTCATTAGTTTAATTGATAATTTAAGTATTAGTATAGAAAAAGTCACAAATTTTTTTTATATTCGATTAAAGTTGCAATTTATTTTAATTCAGTCAAACATATAATCCTAGTGAATTCAACAATATATTCATCATTATATTACTCGATCACGATTTCTTGCACTTTCGGGTTTTCAAAGGCAATAAACTACATTAGTAGATTGGCAATAATTCGATTGATACTAAGGAGACTGGATTGATGTATATATTGATATAATGATAAATTTCTTTTTAAACGCATGAGCACATTTCCATTGGTGATTTAGCCAACATGATTGTTGGATTGTTTAAGACAATAGTCACTCCAACTTTTAATTGCTGGAGGAAAATAAATTTTGAGGATAAAATAGCTAGGCATCAACGATTCAACCTAAAATAGATGTCTCAATAAATTCTTCAAATTAACATTTTAAAATCAAGAATGCGTTGAATTTCTAAATTTGAAGAGTCAAATTTACTCTTTATACTTAAAGACTTATTGACGCAATACACAAATATATGGACATATTGCTAAATACCCCTAACTTTTCAAATTTGCGAAAAACTCCCCTATATGAACTTTGAAGTATGAAAACCCATTTTTCTTTTCAATTTCTTAATAGATCCTTATGAAATGATAAATATACCCTCTTATTTCAAATAAAACAACAAGAAGAAGAAATAAAATAATGAACTAATTTCAAATGTAGTCCCATTTTTTTAAAAATATACAAATGAGTCCCAAATAAATAATTAAAAATGTAAATAAAAATTTCTAAAAGTCCAACTTTCATGAATTTTAAGTGTTATTATCACTGGCTCTGCTTCCATAGTGAACATTATGTAAATCAATAAAACTTATGCCATGTAAATTAACCAAAGTACCCAGGTAGAGAAACTCCAAACTAGTCGGGAGATTTAGGATATGGTTGTTATTTGATACATGATTAAAATGAGCATTACAATAACTATCAAATAATTGGCTTTTCAATTTCATTAGAAGGTTGATTTTCCGCCTACGGAAGTGGAGGAACACAACAAAAGAAACAATGACAAGTATGGCGACGATGACAACAACAATGAGCTTCGATGAGGCAGATTTTCACTTTGAAGGTTGATGAAGATTGAGTGAAGAGATAGTCATCGAAAACGAAGAAAAAAAAGTCAGTAAAGGAGTGAAGGAGGTGACAATGGCGACCATGGATAGATGGAAAAAATTAGATGTTGTTAGGAATAATAACGGTTGAAAATGATATTTAAGGGTGGTGGGGGTGAGGGCACAAGGGTTTGTGATGGAAGTATGGAATCTTGTGGTTTACAGGGTTGATAGAGTATGGAGATTGTGGAGGTGCCAATGGCGGTGGAGGGTAAGGGACGGACAATGCAAGACTAGAAGAGGAGAAGGATGCAGAAGAAGAATGTGGGCATATTTGTTTTTTATGTATAAAGAGGAAAGATGAGTAAATATAGCTTCGTTGTGTCATATGTGAAGTGAATTGGGTTTGTTGTGGGAACTATGATATGTTCTCACATTTCACCTTCAATTTGTATGCTCTGTGTGAAAAGGTAGAAATAGTAGAGAGAGAAAGTGTATATGTATGTCCGTGAGACAGAAGAATTGAAAGGTGATGCACGAAGAGAAGATTTTTTTTTTTTTAATTTTAAATTAACTATTAGCATTTTGAGGTAGAAGACCCTATATCATTTATTATTATTATTATTATTATTATTATTATTATTATATTGAGGTGCAATAAGATCGTTCTTAAGTTCATGGATTGGATCTCTCAAATGATGGTGATCGAATTCCATAAAATGTTTAGCACACTCTCACGTGATGTAAATCAATTTTCACATGGAATGGTTGGAGTCCCGTTACGTATTGATGATACGACATCAAACTTACGTCGACCTAGTGAGGCACAGCTTTGTATTGAGGTTACTCTTATGTATGAACTCCCTGACTGTATATAGATTGATAGAAAGAGACACCGTAGATACCGACAGACCATCTTATATGATAATAAGCAAGAATATTATTTCAGATATAGACACTTAGTGAAGGTGGATGAGCATTGTTTGGTAATGACACACTCCGCTCCATCCCCTCTTGCCCTGTTGCTGTTAACACTATTCATAGACCTATTACTGATTGGGCTAGGGGTAAGGAGAATGAAGTGCTTGTTGAGCCTACTAAACAATGGGTACCAGTTCGTAGAGCTCAGCGG